GTTTACCGTCCACTGTTTATGGTTGTCTGCTGGCTTACAATATCAAAATTGGAGGCCTAAATTTTATGCATACAACTCAATGCACAATCTAATGTGTAGGCTTTATTTCAAAACAATATAATTAAGACAATGAAATTAGGGTTCTTTTTGTCATTGAATCAAAGTAAAGTAACAGTTTGTTTTTATGATCAGTATGTTTCCTACTTGTCTGACAATTTCACTCTTGTCTGTGTCTCTTTTTGTCAGTATCCATTGATCGAGTTACAGGTGAGTGCTGTCTAATCAATCTAACCTTAATGCTACCTAAGTAAATTGATGCCAACGCGAAATTATCTTCTCTTGAAAATAGAATCCTGTAAATATAATGTAAATCTCTATAAAAATGAATTTCCCCTAAAATGGTTTGCCAAAGTCTTGTGTTTAGCCAATTTAACACCTTGTACACTGATGATTTGATACTTTTATTGTTGTTATTCAACAATGTTGTGTCTCTACGTGTTTAGTTTTATGAGTTTCATTATTGATAACACAGTATATCTGAAACAGAAGGTGGGAAATAAAAGAAATTGTGAAAGTGTAAATAGATCAGAAAAAAGGAGAAAGTTTAAGGTGTGCATGCCTAGAAGAGACTATCTGATAACTTTTATTTTTATATATTTTTAATTATTTTATGAAGAAATGGAAAGAGGTTGGGATGTCTGAGGGAGAGCAAGGAATAACCAGACATTTTATATTAGATGTTACTTTATCTGGGCAAGATCGCTGTGTAACATTATCTGACCTTACAAAGATGGCCAAATTCCTGACTGTATGATGGCCAGACATTCCTCATTGACAAGACTTAGGAGAGAAGAAGAGAGAGCATGCACCTTTAGGGCTGCTGGTATTTTATGTAGATGTCTGGCATTTCAAATATAATAAAGTTTTTTAATATTTATTTTTAATTATTAACATTTCTAAAAATATATAATTTAGCAAAAAATAAAATATGTAATGTTGAATGTTTATTCATGTTGTTTGCGAAAGGACCCACAGAGGAATCGCCTGGCTCAATGGAAAGATGTCGTCCCCAACAGTGGCATTGTGGACCTCTCATTTCAGCTGTCTCCTGAGCCTGCCCTGGGAACTTATAACATCAAAACTGATTTAATAAACCACGTCTTCACTGTAGAGGAGTATGGCAAGTGGAAAAAAATAAATAGAATTATCCAGATTATAAATCCACAGATGGAAAGAAAGGAGTGCTTTCATTAAATTATTATGTTTTTGCTATTACAATAAAAGCAGCACTATAAAAAAGAGAAAGTGAGAGATTCACAAAATCTATATTGCTCTATCATGTGGATGCATATATTTGTATATAATTTGATGTAAAATGTGATTTAAAATCTGATGTGTTGCAAAATATTTAACTTCTGTAGATAATTTGAACTACTTGACTGTTGCTGCATCTCCTAGTCTTCCTCTTTCTCCATTCTATTGCATGATGACCAGTTCTTTACAGCCCATACCATATTCTCCAACACTTTCTTTTGTACCCTCCTACACACTCATCCATTATCTGTAATTCACTACAATTCACCCATCATCTAACTTGTTTTTTTCTTCAGAGTTCTTTCTTTACATGATCTCAACTTTCAGTATAACATGTAACAACTAACCCTGCAGTTGCATATTGTCTTCTTCTATCTTCAGTGCTTCCTAAATTTGAAGTGAGTCTTCAAGCTCCACCATCCATCACAGTTCTTGACTCAAATATGACAGTGACAACATGTGCCAGGTGAGACATCTGTGCCAGGTATTAGTGCACCCAGGATACTCTGGGAAGTACTAAAAGCAAATTTGTGGTAACACAGAAAGAACAGGTATGATTTACAGAGTGAGCTGATTGCCACAGGTTTAAATGTTTCTCAGATGGTATAATTAGGGAATTGTTAAGGAACAGTCCAAGTGTAATTTCCCAATGTGTATATCAGGTATACATTTGGACAACCAGTTCCAGGCACTGTGACTTTCAAAATATGCCAAAAGTGTTGGGGGTCCTATTGGAGGAGGTGGGTACCTTCCAGTCAAGATGGAGAAAATAAAGAGGGAGAAAATGATGTTTGTCATCTTCATACAGCCAAGGTGAGAGATGGGAACAGAGTTGTAAGTTGGGATTGTTGTTTAAGAGAAGTAACAAAATAATTGAAAGTGAGTAAAAATGAACTTAATACAAGAGAGGATGTCTAACAGAGCAGAATAGACAAAAAAAAGTGAAAAGTGCTATTGTACAATGTAGGTCAAGATGGTTGTTCAAACATCGAGCATAGTTTGAAGGGAATATAATCTTAAATTAGAAGAAGAGAAAGTAATGGCTGACTTCCAGTTTATATTTCAGTAAGAAAAGAAACATTCCAGTAGACATGGTAGGCGTTAATATGATCTAAGAGAAGACTGGAATAGACACATTTCAATCCTGAGCAAGAATCCAAATCTACAGTAAAACTTGAGTTTGTATCAGGAATGGACAGTTTTAACACTATTTAATATATAATTTAAAATAGTTATGATCTAGTGTCTTCCTCTGCACACATAGTTATAGCATTACACAGATTTTTAGGAGACACGTTATATCACATGCACGGTATGTCTTTAATTCTTCATCTAATCAAGACTAGGAGATTTAGGACAGACTTTTAGAGACTGAAGTAGCAACTTTTTTACCCCACACAATGTTTTGAAGGATGAGCTTTCTCCTCTCTTTAGAATGACCATTCTGGATGCCTGAAATCCACCGTGGACCTCTCCAAATTCCAGATACGGAATTCAAATTATGACAGAAAGCTGGTGGTGGAGGCTTTTCTGGAGGAAGAAGGAACAGGTGAGAAAAGGGTGAATTTAGAAGTTAGGAAAGCAGGGAAAATTGATGAATAAATAAATAAATAGTCAAAACAAATCATCAAGGTATGTAACTACCCCCAAAGGGTGCATGGGCTCTGGTTCAAACCAAAGCAGCGGAAAAATCTTCCTTTCACTGAATAGGTAAATAAATATAGTGTCTATCTGTTAGAAATAGAAGATTGAATGGCATGAAGTTTCTTGGAGATCTAAAAAGAAACATAAATGTCGAGTGAAGAGGAGAATGGCAGATTGGGGAAGAAACAATGTCTGGTGAAATTGAGGCAAATTGATGTATTATGTGACAAAATTTACAGTGGAAGACAAAAGACAAAAGAGGATTACTAATCCATTAATTAAAGTTCAATTTTATGGTCAATGATTAGTTCTGCATCAAAGGTAAATGGTGCATAACACATCATCTAGATTTACACAAGACAAACATAAACTTTCTAATTTACTGAACTCTGATTAACATTTGCTTTGCAAATAACAATAACTTCTGAACACATATATGGGGAAACTGTATAGTATAATATAGAGGCAAGAAACTAATGTAACATTTCCTAATGTGACCCACAGGAATAACAATAAATGCCACGTCTCATCAATGTGATGTTTCCTCCCAACTCACCAAGATTTCTTTCAAAGACTCAAAGTCCTATTTTCAGCCAGGTGCACCCTACAGAGGAAAGGTGAGTAAGGAACTGTCAGATGTGTAAAAGGCTTTCCTTTAACCCCTTAAGGACACATGACATGTGTGACATGTCATGATTTCCTTTTATTCCAGAAGTTTGGTCCTTAAGGGGTTAAATGTGCCTAGGTGTCGAAACATAAATGGATGTTGGACAGTGCCCCACAGTTTATGTAGTAATACAAAAATAATACAAAAATATTAAAAACTATTTGCATGGAATAAAGAAAAGTTTGTATTTGAAAAAAACAAAACAAAACATGTTGCATTTTTTTTTTTTGCAATTTCCTCTACCGTTTATTGATGCTGCTTAGAATCTGTACAATTAATCATGCCAAGGTTTTAGGAAATAAAAAAATGCCCCATTTTTTTTTTTTTTTAATATAGAGCTCCATATAAGCCACATGATTAGTTTACTAAGGTTTTAGATGTCACCTACAAGCTTTCCATTGGAATGACAGATCCTGTATTTCCTAAAAGACAGGTCTGCATATTGCTCGGTTTTCCAGGGATGTTAATGAATAACAGCATCAGTGAGTAGGTCTGGACTCCTTAAAGTGTTTTTTTTTTTTGTTATCTAAAAAGAGATGTATGTAAAAAAGACTGGCCCAAAGGTTCAGGGGACACAGCATCCCTCAATTTTTTTACTTACATTAGCGCACCTAAGTTAAAACTTGCAGTGTAAGTGTATTGAATGAGAGCTTCATAGAAACATAGAAACATAGAATGTGACGGCAGATAAGAACCATTCGGCCCATCTAGTCTGCCCAATTTTCTAAATACTTTCATTAGTCCCTAGCCTTATCTTATAGTTAGGATAGCCTTATGCCTATCCCACGCATGCTTAAACTCCTTTACTGTGTTAACCTCTACCACTTCAGCTGGAAGGCTATTCCATGCATCCACTACCCTCTCAGTAAAGTAATACTTCCTGATATTATTTTAAACCTTTGTCCCTCTAATTTAAGACTATGTCCTCTTGTTGTGGTAAACAGTAGTGATGTACATGAACCAAATTTTCGGTTGTGAGCAGCAACATGAGACTTCCCAAATGTTGCGAACCCACGACGGCATAAATTGACCCATGGGGAGGCAAATTTTAAAACACACAGGGACTCTTTCTGGCCACAATAGGGATGGAAAAGTTGTTTCAAGGGGACTAACACCTGGACTGTGGCATGCCGGAGGGGGATCCATGGCAAAACTCCCATGGAAAATTACACAGTTGATACAGAGTCTGGTTTTAATCCATAAAGGGCAGAAATCACCTAACATTCCTAAATCACAATCAATATGGATTGACACCTGACATATGACATATTGACACCTTGACATATGGATTGACACCTGTCCTCAGAGCCCCTGATGCACACGGACACAGAGCAGAATAGAGACTGGTCCCCCTACATAGGGTCACTTGGCAGATATGGATTGACACCTGTCCTAAGGATCCCTGATACACACTGACACAGAGCAGAATAGGGACTGTTCCCCCTACATCGGGTCACTTGGCAGATGTGGATTGACACCTGTCCTAAGGTTCCCTGATACACACTGACACAGAGCAGAATAGGGACTGGTCCCCCTACATCGGGTCACTTGGCAGATATGGATTGACACCTTGATACAAACTGCTATTTGTAACGGGCCCTTTAAATGGCAAATTGCCCTGCTTCCCTGGGTTGTGGAGAAGCCTATTTGCCAGCCTCCTCCCGCATGACTATGGCCCCTGGGAGATTGTGAAAATGTATGCACTTTTATTTGGTGTGTATTGCCCTTTAAGACTGTCAGTGGGCATATTGGGGCTTATGGACTCTTTATGTGACTGGTGCTGGCCCTTTAAACACCTTTTTTGGGACATCATGAAGATTGGGACACTGAACGCCCCCAAGGCCCGTGTCCACAGACTTCTAATTGGGGACCACGGCCTTTAAGGCGTGTCCCCTGTGTCCCCAGACCTGGTGCTCCTTTGTGCCTGCCTTGCTGGCCTCCCACTTGGTTCAGTAAATGGGAGGTATTTCAGCTGCAGAGACTAAGTCCCATTGGCCGATGGGACTTAGTGGACACAACCTAGAGGAAATAGACCGACCTCACAACCCAAATCTATGGAACTGTTTGGGTGGGAAAATATTGCTTCTTGGTCGGTCATAAAGGGACTGCTCAGCCTAACTTTTAACCCCTGGATGGATTTGGCTGATTTTTGGTTATGTTTATGTTTTAAGATGTGCTGATTCCAAATATGTAATTATGAAGATGGGATCAATTATTAGTTTTTAAAGGATTACAGATTTATTTAAAAACTGTATTTTTACTGCCTGTGTTTAATTATGTATCTCTTTTAAGCGTCATTTCGTTCAAAGTGGAGAGAATGTTAAAAAAATATATTTTTGTTCTGAGTGTGAGAAATGCTTTTCAGCCGCTTCTAATCTTAAGCATCATTTGAGGAGCCATACAGGGGAGAAACCTTATTTGTGGTGTGTTTAGTATTGTTCTGATCAGTTTAATACCTTCCGCGTCTCCTATCAGTGGACGTGTATATGGCAGCCATTTTAGGAACCGTACACCTGGGACCCGAGAAAGGTCACCTCGTTCAACAGGCGACAACATTTGTCCCTGGAAAACTATCCTGGACATTCTGTACAATTTGTATGGATATGGCAGTGATTTCTGTAACAGGGAGATGGAAGAAGATGCTTGGTCGGTCCTCTTAATTCAAATTTGGGGCACTCCGCGGTCAAGCTAATGTGCCACCAGATAGGAGTGGTGTGTTTAGTATTGTTCTGATCAGTTTAATACCTTCAACGTCTCCTATCAGTGGTCGTGTACACGGCATTGATTTTTGTAACAGGGAGATGGAAGAAGAGGCTTGGTCGGTCCTCTTGCAAATTTAAGGGCACTTTCTTGTGGTCAAGCTAATGTGACACCAGATGGGAGTGGTGTTTAGTACTATTTTTATCAGTTTAATACCTTCGTCTCCTATCGGTGGAGTGTACTGCGGCATTGATTTTGTAACAGGGAGATGGAAGATGAGGCTTGGTGGTCCTCTTACTGCAAAATTTGGGGCGCTGTCAAGCTAATGTGACACCAGATAGAGATGGAGTGTTTTGGTACTGTACATCAGTTTAATACCTTCAGCGTCTCCTATCAGTGGTCTGATACACACTGACACAGAGCAGAACTGGGAATGTTACCCCAACATCGGGTCACTTGGCAGATATGGATTGACACCTGTCCTAAGGATCCCTGATACACACTGACACAGAGCAGAATAGGGAATGTTACCCCAACTCCGGGTCACTTGGCAGATATGGATTGACACCTGTCCTAAGGATCCCTGATACACACTGACACAGAGCAGAATAGGGAATGTTACCCCAACATCCGGGTCACTTGGCAGATGGATTGACACCTGTCCTAAAGGTTCCCTGATGATACACACACTGACACAAACAGAATAGGGACTGGTCCCCCTACAGCCAGATCTTAGCGAGATATGGATTGACACCTTGTTACAAACTGCTATTTGTAAACGGGCCCTTTAAATGGCAAATTGCCCTGCTTCCCTACTTGCCAGCCTCCTCCAGCATGACTATGGCCCCTGGGAGATTGTGAAAATGTATGCACTTTTATTTGGTGTGTATGGCCCTTTAAGACTGTCGGTGGGCATATTGGGGCTTATGGACTCTTTATGTGACTGGTGCTGGCCCTTTAAACACCTTTTTTTGGGACATCAGGAAGATTGGGACCCTGCCCCTTTTAGGCCGTGTCCCCAGACTTGTTGGGGACACTGCCCCTTTAAGACGGTGTCCCCTGTGTCCCCAGACCTGGTGCAAACCCTTTGTGCCTGCCTGGCTATTTCCCACTTGGTTCAGTAAATGATTATTTCAGCTGCAGAGACTAAAGTCCCATTAAATGGGACTTAGTCTTTTACGCTTAATTTCAGCTGCAGAGACTAAGTCCCATTCGCGATGGGACTTAGTCGTTTTTTCAGCCTGAAATAGACCGACCTCACAGCCCAAATCTATGGAACTGTTTTGGGCAGGAAAATGTGCTTGCAGTCGGTCATAAGGGACCTCCAGCTAACTTTTTAACCCCTGGATGGATTTGGCTGATTTTTGGTTATGTTTATGTTTTAAGTGTGCTGATTCCAAATATGTAATTATGAAGATGGGATGTGTAGTTTTAAAGTTACAGGGTATGGCTAAAACTGTATTTTTACTGCCTGTGTTTAATTATGTTAATCTCTTCCCAAACGTCATTTCGTTCAAAGTGGAGAGAATGTTAAAAAAATATATTTTTGTTAGGAGTGTGAGAAATGCTTTTCAGCCGCTTCTAATCTTAAGCATCATTTGAGGAGCCATACAGGAGAGAAACCTTATTTGTGGTGTGTTTAGTATTGTTCTGATCAGTTTAATACCTTCCGCGTCTCCTATCAGTGGACGTGTATATGGCAGCCATTT